AAAAAAACAATTGTAGCCATTGGATCGTGTTAATCCAAAAATGTTGCATTGTGCAATTATGGTTATTTAAACTTGTTCATGACAACACTTTCTTGTAGTTCCTGTAGTTTATTTAACTGTAACATTGTTGGTTTGCTCTATCTGCTCTAAACTTGGTTGGCCAAAGATGGCTTGTTTGTGTATTAATTGTGAAACAAACCACAATACACTGCCTTGTAAAACACTTGATGGTTGTTTCTTTTTCTATTGGTGGCGTGGATCACGTGTTGTGAGATCTTCTGTTAGTCAATTACCTGGATAATGAGGTATGTAGATATGTACGTACATGTGTGGTGAAAATCGTGCTGATAACTCTAGTCTTAGTTGCTTTTCCTGTAAGTGGTCATAATTAATTCGATACAAATCATATTATAGCCTGGTGTCTTACACGCTTGGCATGTCCATCAGCATGTTTCCCTGTTCATATTACTTACCTCTATATTTTTTGGTGGTCTTCTGTCACTTTCATGATGCCTACTTGTCTCTGGGTTCCTCCACATTTACCGAGTTAGTATCGTATTCATGTTCTTGTGCAGGTCTTTCTCCTGTATATAATTTTAAGGACCGAGGAATGGGATGAAACATGTGTGTGTGTGTGTGCGCGCGCGTGTGTGTGCATAGTTACAATCTGTGTAGAATCAACATTGGTTTAGTACGATATACTATCCTTTATGAGTTGCATCTTTGTGATACTCTTATTACTTGGCCATTAATTTATCTTGGTCTTTCTCTCTGTCGAGGGAGCAGCTCTCTTCGGCATGATCTGGTGTGTTGTCGTGATCTCCGGCGAAGCTGGTGCACCGCCTTGCTTGCAGTGACGATGAGACAGTGGGGTGGTTGCCCTGTAACCTCGGCGTTGCCCCTCAGGATTGCCTTCTAGGGAACCACCACTCAGGTGAGTCATTTGTGTCTCCTTCCTCTATCCGCTATGGGACCTAGTCTTTGACCTATGGCCATGCTGTGCTCTGATCTGGCCATTTGAACCGGATCTAGTGCATGTTGTCTTTGTTGGTGGTCTGGCCTATGTTGCGGTCTTTGTTTTTTCTTGGTTTGCTTGTCGATGAAATGCTAGGGTTCCTGTTGTACACGATGATTGTGGTTCATGTGGCGTACATTTACTTGCACTGCATGTGCTAATGCTGCTGCTAAATCCTTTCTTGCATGTCTTCTTTTTTTTATCTGAGAAATCAGTACATCTCTATTTCGGTTAATAAATCACTCAGTGCGCTTGGAATCTGCTATGCTTTGATGGCCCATGGTTTGTATGCATACACATATCTTCTACTATCTGGATGCGGTCTGAAGCATGTTATAATAACCAGCTGCATAGGATGCTAAAAACAACCTCATTCTTTGAATTGCTATTTGGCATGTAAATCACAACCCTATACCACAATGGTTTTATTTAAGGCGATGTTACAGAGTTTCTTGTGGACTTGCTTAGAATTAAGAAAATTCACTTGCCAGTAATTGTAAGGCCGGGGATGTTCTAGAATAGTTTGCGTCGTGCTTAGTTGATGCTTGTGCCACGTGTACCGCTGAATTTCCTTGATCTACTAATGTTATGCATTCGAACAATGTATGTTGAGTTGATCTACTATTCTTGTTCCATTAATAGCTGTATCATTTCTCGCATAGGTTTGGTGGTGGCAATGTGTGCTCGACGGCCCCTTGCTTCCGGTGTCGATGAGACAGCTGGCCGGTTGCCCTGTAACCTCGTCGTTGGCCCTAGAACTGCCTTCTCGGCTACCACCACTCAGGAGAGTCGTTGGTGTCTCCTTCCTGTCTGCTCTGGGACCTAGCCTTCAAGCTATGGTCATGCTTTGCTTTGCTTTGGCCATTGAGCCGATGATCTAATTCATGTTGTCTTTGTTGGTGGTCTGGTCTATGTTGTGGTCTTCGGTTTTTCTTGGTTTGCTTGTCGATGAAATGCTAGAGTTCTTGTTGTACATGGTGATTGTAGTTCATGTGGCGTACATTTACTTGCACTGCATATGCTAATGTTGTTGCCAATTCCTTGATTGTCTTCTCTTTTGATCTGAGAAGAACAATACATCTCTCTTTCGGTTAATAAATCACTCAGTGTGCATGGAACTTGCTATGTTTTGATGGCCCTTGGTTTGTATGCATAAATATATCCTGTGCTATCTGGAAGCATTTTGAAGCATGTTATTATAGCCAGCTACCTAGGATGCTAAAAACAACCTCATCCTTTGAATTGCTATATGGCATGCAAACCACAACAAGACGATCTTAGACAGAGATTTAATGTGTTACTTACTTATAATCAAGAAAATGCACTTACCAGTAATTGTAAGGCTGGACATGTCTTCTAGAATAGTTTGCGCTGTGCTTTGACTCATTGGCAAAGGATTGGTGATTTACTTGATCCTTGTGCCGTGTGTACTACCAAATCTTCTTGATCTACTCATGTTATGCATTTAGTGATGTACGTTGATCTACTATTCTTGGTCCATTAATCAGTTGTATCATTTCATCATAGGTTTGGTGGTGGCAGGGCGAGCTCGACGGCCCCTTTTTGCTGCTTTGGATTGCTACAGTTGCTGCAACGGTTCAAGTCAGTGCAAGACTGTTGGTGTGTTCCTAACACCAATCAAGTGGTGTGTGTAACTTAGTTATTTTTCCTGTGGTGAGAATGTAGGAGATCTATATGTGGTATGGTCAGTTGGAACCAAAGAAATCCTGATTCCTTGGCTGCCGCCAGAGCTTCATTTCATTGAGGCCGGGCGTTTGATTTTCCAAGTGAGGTGCTGGCATGCAGGTGTTGCGTACTGGCTAGGAAGGGTTTGACATGGCTGCTTATTTGTTTGGCTAATGAGTCCCTTTCCTGGGAGTCGAGTTTCATTTTAGTTGATGGAGCGAGCCGTCTCAAGTGCCATGTAGAACAACTGTAGCTTAAGCATTATACATTTTGTTGCGTGGAACCGAGATCCATGGACATTCTATTGTAATATTTCTTTTGTTGTGGTTGTATTTTGGTTGGTGTTTTTTATGCGTGAAGGAAGGTAGGTTCTGTAAAAGTACCTGTTTAACAAGTTGCCTTGCACAAATATTTGTACTGTAAATATATGGTTCTTTGTTTTGAGTGGAAGCTTTCTTTGCTTTGACAATTGGTTTCTTTCGATCGATCAATCAGCTGTACATGTCATGTTATCTTATCTTGGGAATGTATCCATGCTGTCTTCCATTTCTTTGATCACTGTTTATGTATTTGGTACAGGGCATATACACCAGGAAGGTTTAATGAGTCAAACTACATATAATAGCAATCAATGACGGGAAGATTGTCATCAGGCAATATCAATAAAATTGGCCTTCATCGGTCAGTAGAAAGCAAAGGACGGCCTTATTCATCTGCTCCATGGCGTGGTTCCGAGTTGTCTCGTCCTTTCTTCCGCGTAAGGGCAACTCCATTATCTTGTTGTTCTCTTCCCCGCAAGGGCAACTCCAACACACCAACGGTCCGCGCGTGTCCGTTTGGGTCAAAATGGATGAGGATCTCGTTTGCTCATTGTATGGCCCCAGTGGAACCGCACGCGGTGCACTGGGATGTATAGTCTATCCCGCGGTCAGCGAGCCCTCCCAGTCGTTCGCAATACATGCACACACACGTGCGCAAGCGCGGAAAACTCTGACACCCCAAAAGGTCATCTAGGCCCTCAAACAGGCCCCGCGAGCTTGTAGGTCGAAAAAGCGT